GAGAAATATGGTCCCCAAGAGAAATGGTTTCGTATTGCATAAATGTATCTGATATTTTGAGCTTATCACTTAAAAGTACCTAGTAAGTTTAAAATGAATACCTCGTGAAATAATTGAGTACGTTAAGTATTAAATAAGTTTTAAAATATTAAACTTACTCCTAGAACTAAAGAAAGGGAAAATAATCTTAAAAATTTCACATTCATATGACAGCACCAGAAAAGTTTGTATCATTTATCAAACGGAATCATTTACAATTTCATTTATAACAATGGCTAATGCAAAACTAATGCAAAAAAAAAACATTTTTCAAATATCTCTCCAGAATGGACTAATTAGAATTCTTAAATGGTTTTGGGGTCAGGGGCTGAAATTGCACCTTATAGTCGATGCCGACATTTCAAGACACTCTGACTTTCGAGAGTTATAAAAAATTTCATATATCATGAAGGATAGACAAAAAAAATTGAGTAAGCACAAAAGAAAAAGTAGATGTAATTAAATGCCTATGTATAAACAGTTAAAATAATACATTTACGGTTTATTGACCATTCAAAATATCAAAAACTTAAATAATAATTCTTAATACGACTCCTATGTATACACTGAAAATGTATATTTGGTTCGTTGTTAAATGATCATTAAAATAAATTACGCTATGTTTAAACGGTATTAAATGACCCTCCAAAAACACTCACCATTTTCATATGTATGAGAATCATCTCAGGTTTAGGTACATTACTTTTATTTCTGTTAAAGCTCCTGAAATGAGACTTTAATTTTTAGCGTTGAAATAATTTTATTAAGTTAAATGTTTTAATAACGCGAAAACTAAATTTTTTTCAAAAATCTCAGAAACTGAAAATATCTATGTGAATTATTTTTGGATCACTTTTCTTTTTTTAAAAGCGTGAAAGAAAAATAACTTTCCTTAAAAATTATAAAATTTATTGTAGTGTAGTATTTTAAGATGTTAAATAATTTAAAATTGTTTTCTAATATTATTCAAAAGGTTTTAAGCTATTTTATCTCATCTTTTGTTTAGTTAGTCAAATAAAAAGCATTAAGTATCATTTTTTAAATGAGAAGACCGTTTTTGAAGATAAATTGATATATTATACTCACTTTATTCCCAAAAGAAATAAGAAAAACTATTGCAACAATGAAGGAACTAGAGAACTTCATCCTGAATAACTTTAAACTATCTATTTAACTATATTCGTTGAAGTTAAGTAATTTTTTACGCATATTTCTTTCGAAAGCAAGCTTTTGAGGATGTCTATTTTCTATGTATGATGATTGCGTAATATTTACATTTCTTTCGAAATTTGTTTTTTCTCTGTTAGTATATTTATATAAGATTAGACTAAATGATTCATTCAAATTCAACTGCACTGTTGCTGGCATTGAGGGTGCATAACCTTTGTAGTACAAGAAAATTGTTGAGTGTATGCGCCTTTTCGAGTATCATCTTTCTTTCCACTCTGTAAAAAAATTCCGAATCAAGTTACGGTAAAAAGTACTGCACTCAGGGTACTTTTAACTTTTTGATCCAGAATTTCTGACAGAGTGAGGGCCGAAAAAAAGCTGAAAAACAAATTAACAAAAATTGCTGGAAGAAATTCCCCATCTTAAAATACAAGAAATACAAAAATAATGTACAATAATTTCAGCAAAATACAATAATATGAAATAAATACATTAAAAGACAGATAGTACTGTTCTAATAGTACTTTCACTTGTACACGTTGCTGTAAAATTGTACTCACGGCATGCATTAAAATCTAAGTCGTTTTTAAGTACTTGTACTTTTAATCTTTTCATTTTGAAAGTAACATTTCCAAGTTCGATGAGAAAGAACATGATATAATTGAATTTTTATCACAAAAAATGATAATTTCAAACACTCCTAAACCTTGTTATCTCTTATCTTGGTTGCACAAGTCAACAAGTTCATTAAAGTGAAACTAACGTTTTGACAACATGTCATGAACTTAAATTAATAACGTTGAATAAGAATAAATCAACTTCTTATAAGGTAAAAATCTTTTCAAAAAATTAAGTTCTGGTTTATGGGTTACTATCCATACTTTTCGGTTTGAAATATCACTTTTTTTTTAAATATTGGAAATAAAGGTAAGCTGTTTTTTATTTTTCATTTATTATTTCATTTCATGCAGTGGTTTAGTAATGCTTTTGCTTACTCCAAAAAAAGATATCCATAATAGTTCCTGCTGAATATAAAAATAATTTATTAATAAGGAAAATGAAATTAATATTTAAAAAGAAGTAGTGGAATTGTAAAAAGGGAAGCAAAATGGAATGCGAAAAGAATTTTTTTTTTAAAAAATTGACAAATTATTTTTACTCTAAACAAAAATTAAAACGAAATTTTTCAGATTTAAAAAATTATCAGTTCTTCAGAAAATTGAGAATATTAAATTTAAAAATCTATGAAATCACATGTATATGCACCAATAAAAATAAGGGGTTTCCCGATCTACAGGGTTTTTCAAGTTTTCTAAATGCTTCTATTTTGTTACGTACATATATCTGTATAACATATACTTACATTTGTTAAACTTCCAATTTTGAAAAAGTGATGGATATTTAATTCCGTTCTTCTAAAATTTTGTTACAATATATTTTTTTTGAGAAAAAAGTATAAAAAGTGCTAAAAAAGTATAAAAAGTATTTTTCTTTAATATTAAAAAACAATTGGACCTTGTTTTTTTCAATAATATTTAAAAAATTGAGATTCTGCAGCAATTCAAAATAATATCAAGCACATCATCTTTTCTGGAAAACTATTTTAGAAATTATCTATTTTAACTTAAAAAATTATTTTCTAAGGAGTAACATAATAAATTAATAAATTAAACTATAAGAAACAAATAGTCAAAAATAAATTTTTTTGTGTTAACGAAATAGGGCAAGCCATGCATAAGGAGACAAACTCTACTGCTAAGTAAAAAATAATTTCAATGATATAGTTATTTGTTGAAGAAACAATTATAATTGATAAAGGATGAACAATAGACATTCAGTTATTTTACATATTTTTTTAAAATTCTTATCGAAATTGTGGGCAGAAAAGCACACGTATTAGGAATCAAGGAGCTTACACATTAGGAGTTGAGACACAAAGATCTAAAACACTATTGGAATTAATCAACCGATTGTTGAATGAGGCGGGACTAAAATTATCAAAACCTGTCTGGTTGCTTGAGCAGAAGGAAGTTCAAAAACAATTCTTAGAAACCTTTCCCAGTTTGAGGCAATCATAATAATGATCTGTTTTTCATCTTGCCTTTGTCACTAGTAATGGGACAAATTTGGATAGCATTTTTTTCTGGGTCTTAATATTAATTTGCAACCCTTAATGTGTATACTTGTTTTACTTGATTTCTTACATGGAAAGTAAAAATATAGATTAATGTAGACCATTGCAGATCTTCCTGTATGCTTTGCAATCATAACAAATTATTTAGAAAAAATAACTATTTTCTGAAAATGCCCTTTTTCCCTCCTGAACAATCTACTTTTTTCATTTAATAAAAATTTATTATTTCATAACCTGTGAGCTAATTTATTAAAAAATATATCTTTTAAGAAAAACTATTTTTTGTGATTTTGAAATTAAATCTAAAATATAAGCTATTGCCCTATAAATTACTCCTAATTTATTACTGTTTAACTTCTTGAAACTTACATGTTCATATTCAAATTTCAAAGTAATTGAAGAAGTGAAATAAAAAAAAGGAATGCAAATAAGTATAATCCTCTGTTATATACTTATTTTTGTCTCATTGTAAAAGATAAAGTTTACTTTGATAAATAATCCCAAAAAACTGAAGCGGTACGATGTTACCTGTTTCAAAAATTCATTCGTTTCAAATGTATACAAATTCAAAAATGTTTACTTTAAATGTTTTAAATGTATATTTTTAAAGCAAATGAAGTCTTTAATCGAGTAATTAAATTTGCTTCTTACTTGATTAAAAAAATAACTGAAATTTTTAGCCGAAGTGACAGATTAATTTACAATTGAGCGCAGTTTTTGGAAGTTTTCTGTTTTTAGCTTTGCAAAAGTTCATGAGCTTCTCAGAATCTATAGATTTTATATTAAAAAAACAAAGAACACCATAAATCGTTTGAAAGGAAAAAACGAGACAGTAAGTTATTTGTACAAATATAGCAACTTAAATGCATGTTTACAGTAAATGAAACAGTATAATGTACTCCACTTTACCTTTGTTCAATTATTAAATTTTTAAGGTCTTACCAACGCAAGGAAACATGTAAATAAACATTAGATCTGTTCCACTACAAGGAGCTGTTGGAGTCTGCTCCGAACTGTTCTGATGATGCCGTTCAAAAACAAACAGAAAAGTTTAATCAGTTTTTCTCTTAAGTGAGAAATGGAGATTTTGTTTTGTTTTGTTTTAAGCAAACGATTTTGTGTAGAATTATATTATTTTTACTACAAATTTTTCTTCTTAATGCATTTTATTTTTATTTTAATACAAAATATCTTCCAAAGCTGCACTGACAGTGATTTTTGCTACTTTTTTCATCAAAACAAAAATTCACAAGAAATATATATCAAGAAATTGAGAATTTGATTTGTGCATTTAAAGTAGAGTGATCAAATGTAAAAACTGTAGTTTGTATTTTGTATTTTTTTAATATTTAAACTTTTGCATTGTGGTTTAGATATCTGAAAGAAATATTTAAAGTATTGATAAAGAATTATTAATAAACAAGGAACATTGACTTCGTCTGAAAATTGTGAATTGAATCAATCGAAAAATTAATAGTTAACCGATTAGGAATCGTTCGAAACCGTCAAACGATAAACTTTAAAAAATAAAATAAAATTTGGAGTATGCTCTAGAAGCTCATTGTCATGGAACAGACCCTCTGTCAAAAAATATTCTCAATTTAGTATTTTAGAATAAAATAGAATGCATTTATGATTCATATTTCTTTTCAGATATTTTAAAGTTCTCTTATTATTTGTTGCCATGAAGAAAAAGCATAAAAAATGGTTGCTTCTCATATTAACTTACACACTATTTCCCGTGGTAAAAATGCTTCAATACATATCTGATTCTACATTCGAAGTCTCCGGAACAAGAACGTTTAGCCATTTGGTGGTTGATGAAATTCATAATAAAATATACATTGGTGGAGTTAATAAAATTTATCAACTATCCACAGATTTAAAAATTGAATCTGTGGTTGAAATGGGACCTCAAATGGACAGTCCGAAATGTCCAGCATCCCGTAAATGCCCGGGTGTAAGAAAAAATCTCACAGATTATTACAATAAAATTTTAGTTTTAGACAACTCCATTAACAAACTAATCGCATGTGGAAATCTCTTCCTAGGTGCGTGTACGATACACGACTTTAAAAATGTGTCATATTTCAGGACACCATCAACCATGGCTGTTGTAACTAACTCTACCACAGCTTCATCAGTCGCTCTCATAGCACATGGACCACATTTAAAAAGACAAGTCATGTATGTGGGAGTTTCATATTCAAGGGATGGCCCCTATCAATCAAAACTGCCACTTATTAGTAGTAGAAGTTTGAATCCTCGTAAAATGTTCGAGATCACCCACCCAGGTACGATGATTGCGCTTAACAGTATGTCAAGGAGTATTTATCCAATAACTTACGTCCACGGCTTCAGCAAGTATGGATTTTCACACTTTCTAACTGTACAACAGTTCTCTCTAAATCATCCGATGCATTTTGTGTCAAAAATTGTGCGTGTCTGTCAAAATGATGCTAATTACTCTTCATATGCAGAAATGCAACTCATTTGCAGTGTGGATGGTGTGGATTACAACCTCGTGCAAGCTGCCCATGTTGGTAAGCCTGGAGTTATATTAGCTAAGTCTTTGGGAATATCCGATGAAGACAGTGTTCTTTTTGCAGTTTTTTCTAAGTCTAAGGTTGATACAGAATTTTATGATGAACACAGTTCTAATTCTGCTCTATGCTTGTATGCTTTACCACACATAAATAGGCAATTTGCAATGAATATAAAGACTTGTGCAGATGGTAGAGGGTGGACCGGTCTGGATTACATTACGAAAAGTCAACCATGCTACACCACAGTAAATACATCTTTTCATATAATATTTATTACAGCTCTACACTTATATTTTTAACGAATTAAAAATATTATAAAACCTAATATTAAATAAGTGATTGCTCATAGGATCATAAGCTTGTATTTTTTCAATAGAATAAATTAAAATAAATGCTTAATAAATATTTAAGTATCAAAAATATACTGCTTCAAAAAGTTTTACTACTTATTTTAAAAGTTTTTGGTAATGAATTTTGTAATTATGGCTTTTTTAAAACATTGAATCTCTATAAACCACCGTAATTATACGTTAAAAATCCGTTAACGTAATAACAGATGAAATGGCTGTTATAGTAAGTTTGATGTTGTAAGCAAATACGAGTATTTAAAGTTAAAATATCAAGACTAAAAAATTACACTCCCTTTTCTTCATCAATTCATCTGAAATGCAGCCAAAACCAGGGACTTTATTTAGTTTTATTATAATTAACTAAAATAATTATTAAAATTACCATATAATTATGTATAGATGAATAGATATAACTAAGGGACCTATAATTACTTCTCTTTCTCACATCTACAACAGCTGTGCTTCCATTTCCGTTTCCTCACGATAAGCATATTCTTATTCTATAATTAAAAAGCATTTAATTGAAAGATACGGAATTTTTTAATTGCATCAGCACCAACTCTACTTATGATTTAAAGCCGAAGCAACTTAAACCTTAGTCCTTTTCTTCGGTTACCGTTGCAATATATATATATATATATATAATATGATGTGATTTTTTGAATTTGTTTTTCACATGCTTTAAAAATTATTATTAATGTGGTTTGAAAATGGAACTGCATGATATCTAAGCAAATTGTTTTAAATAAGTTTCTTTCAAAGTAGTTGCTGACTCAAGCCTAGTGCACCTGTAGCTTGAACGTTATGATACTAACAATAACGTAATAGAATTTTTAAATTTTTGAGCAAATGCAGATTAACCCTTATTTTAATGTTTTCATAT